CTATGGTGAACTATGGTGAACTATGGTGAACTATGGTGAACTATGGTGAACTATGGTGAACTATGGTGAACTATGGTGAACTATGGTGAACTATGGTGAACTATGGTGAACTATGGTGAACTATGGTGAACTATGGTGAAGTGTGTGAGAGGTATGAACAAAGAATACTATTAAAAAACATGCAGTCTAAAAATGTCAAACAGTATTGAGTATGTTCATGGCATGATTCTTGTTGTTTGCCATACAAACATTTTCCCCGAAATGTTCACATTTTTTGGGGTCTTTTTTGTCCATAAGTGTACCTGTTGTGTACCTGTTGTGTACCTGTTGTGTACCTGTTGTGTACCTGATGTGTACCTGTTGTGTACCTGTTGTGTACCTGTTGTGTACCTGTTGTGTACCTGTTGTGTACCTGTTGTGTACCTGTTGTGTACCTGTTGTGTACCTGTTGTGTACCTGTTGTGTACCTGTTGTTCCATGTGTTCAAACCATTGTTATAAATCAGTATTTATTGTTCCAAAAGTCAAAACCATTGTGCTATCTGTTATGTGATGACACCATTCGTCTCAGTGACCAGCCCAAGTGCCTAGACCATATGAATTACTTCACTTGAATGTGGGTTGCTTCACTCCAATGTTGGTTACTCCACCCATATCTCACCATTTATCACTTTGTCTATCTTAGAAAGAATGGCGATAGGTCAAATTAAAATATCGATGCAAAAATTTAAATTATTTTTTCTTTCTCATCTTGTACCAACTTTTTGAAGAAATTTAGATTATAGAGTATAATGATTTAATTGCTAGATTAGAGAGTATACTGATTTAATTGCTAGATTTGAGAGTATAATGATTTGATTGCTAGATTAGAGAGTATAATGATTTATATGCTGATGTTTGTATGTGCATAAAACTATTATATGTATATGTTAAAAGTTGAAAGATTTTTTATAAATTGAATTAAAATATAAATACATTTGTCAAAACAGAAATGACAATACTCGTTTGAACCTCTGGTGTTGCTACACAGCTAGACATTTATGTTGTTCTCAGCTAGACATCTATGTTGTTCTATGTAAAGCTAGAGGTAGAAAGTTTATCAAATTATTTGATCCTTTAATTAAAGGACTTGTTTGTTTGAGTTACTCTCTCTCTCTCTCTCTCTCTCTCTCGTCCATGTCCGTCTGTTCCAATGGCAAGACTTGGAAATAGACCAGGTGGAATTCCATGACATTTAATTCCGGGATTGCAATGATTTCTGGACATTACAATTAAACATTATATTTCATGTATGAAATTAAATAAAGTGCTGGAAATCACCGAGAATAGAAGCTCGCCGGGAATATCAACTTACTGGGAGTAGGAACTCGCCGGGAATATCAACTTACTGGGAGTAGGAACTCGCCGGGAATATCAACTTACTGGGAGTAGGAACTCGCCGGGAATATCAACTTACTGGGAGTAGGAACTCGCCGGGAATATCAACTTACTGGGAGTAGGAACTCGCCGAGAATATCAACTTACTGGGAGTAGGAACTCGCCGGGAATAGTTCCGATAAAAGATGCGTAAGAGGCATACCGTTTGGGCTTGCAATCTTGAGAAGTACTACTAATTATTTGTATCCCTACAAATATAATTTATAGAGTGTCATTCTGAGCCTCAACGATGGCTGTTAGGGTAGACATTTCAGTACAACTTCTTGTTGTTCTTCTTCTATATTAAGGGCCCACGATCAATTTATTGATAATATTGGCTCCTATGCATATAGAGGGGATTTGCAATGTTTCTGTGCCTGGTGCTGATGAGGATATTTCAATGATTACAAGTGCTACTTTGTGAAGGAATCATGCAATGGGGGTTGGAAGGCTTGAGGCAATAGACGCAAATGTGTCTATAGTGTTGTCGCCTCAACTGTTTCTTTTGAAAGCTTGTTCCAGTCCCTGATTAATTTACATGTAATAGATTTTTTTTTTAAATAATAAAAGAATGAAATGAATGAGACAAAATAGTTTATACTTAACACCAAACAGTCTTACATTAAGATTAGGCAACGTTTTAAGCAAATAAATATAATCATGTGTCGGTGACATAAGATAAGAAAGACTGTATACGTAAGGTTTGATTGGATTCGTTCCCAAGTCAATGAGCTACAACTCTTCACTGCTGTCGTCAAATGGACAGAAATGAGCATTGTTACTGATGCTATATGACGGACTGCGATCCAGACGTTTGAAGTCAAATAAATAGGGGAACAAGATATATTGACAAGAAAAGACAGATAATTAAACTGATTTTTCGACTGTATGCCTGCTTCAGCAGACAATACTTAAAACAATACAGAATGAAATCAATGTGGGTCAATGTTCAGAACAGGAAGCGCTCCGTTGAGATTTTCGAACACGTCTGTTCTATTTTCATGATGTCATTAAACTGTTGTTTCTTGTTTTTATATCGTCTGCTGAAGAAGGCATCTGGCCGAAACGTCCGTTTACATTTTCTGTTTTTTTCTGTTGTTTTTTCTGTTGTTTTTTTCAAGCCCAAACAGATCTTCTTCAACTGCTTGTTGAAATATGTGTTGAGCTCAGCTATTTTTGTGACATCCCTTGTTAACTTGATAATCCTTTACAAAAAACATGATACATTCTCCCGGCACTAGCTATAAATTATTTATTTTGAAAGCAATGTTGTAAATTTAATAAGAATTAATAATAACTGTCCGTCCAGAGATTAAGTACAGAAATAAGAAGACCAACATCACGACTGTATTCAATAATGAAACGCTGGTCAGAATTAATTCAAGGGAAATAATCAAGGCTTATGCATCCAACAGGCTGGCATCCCGAGTGGCAGCCCTTGATCTAAAATAAAACTCACCAGCACGCACCATAGCACACATTGCAGACACCTACACTCTACAAACCAATACTTACACCACGCTCTTGATCTTTCACGCATGCTAACTACTAACTCAAAGTCAAGAACATTAAAGACAATCTCTTTATTTAAATATCATATATGCAGACTGTGAATGTTCGATTATTTTATTTTTTGAAATTTAGTCCACAACTTCTGGTTGTATAAACCTAGAATATTTATTACGCCTGACGATCTGATTACTATTATAGACCGCCCAAAGCCTAGTGACCACCATTGAAGAAAAGATTGAAAGAGAGATGGTTAGTTTCTATTGCTGTCCCTTTACCAGTGTGACCACAGATCGCAAATAGGTTCAGTTACAAAACAGAAACTAAAAGAGGAAGGATGAGGAAATGAACTGTCTAACAAGATTAAAATAATAATAATAATAATATTGAAAAACAAAATCTGCCTTCATTAAGACCTATTCTTCACGTCAATGTCTGTGATGGTTCTCCCTGTTTAATCTCTCTCTGTCACGTGATGCCAGTGAAACTCCTCTAACATTTTGTTCATCTCCTTATCGTTTACGTTCCTTTTCCGAAACATAAATTACATAAACAACAATAATATCATAAAATACCCCCCTAGTCCCCCCCCCCCCCCCCCAGATGTTTTTTTTTCTAAATGAAAACACAAAGATTTTAACTGAGTAGAACTGGAAGTAAAATAGATGAATTTCTATGAAATGATTTATTAAATTTGAAGAGACTCGGAAACGGAGGCGTAGTTTTTGTCATCAAATTTTAAAGCATTGATCGAAAATTTAAAAAAAAAGAAAATTAAAAAAATGGAATAGGTAAAATGCGAAGTTGTTCTTTGCACAATATAACATTTCGACTAATCCTTGAACAAATTAGTTACCCTAAATGATGAAAATATTCTTAAAAAAAGGTTCATGCCTGAATACTAAAACAAATTTAGTGGGTTTTTTAAAGCTGTTTCCTATTGAACTAACATATTTCGATTGAAGATGAGGCAATGTCACGTGAGCGTAAATCTGTTTATATCAGCCAATAAAATAAAATCTACTTTCGATGCAACAGAAGCTCAGGGTTAGATCGGAAATGAAAAACACATATGGTGCACCCCGAAGAAAGATGAATTCATAGACTTGTCCCATCTGTGGTCAGTTTGCTGCTGTAGTTAAATAATGGTGTGCACACAGATCTGAAACAGAACAAAGCAATAGTGGGACTTTAAAATTACTATTGTAGTTCTAAATAGTGGTACTTTACAATTACTATTGTAGTTCTTAATAGTCGGACTTTACAATTACTATTGTAGTTCTAAATAGTGGAACTTTACAATTGCTATTGTAGTTCTAAATAGTGGTACTTTACAATTACTATTGTACTTCTAAATAGTAGGACCTTACAATTACTATTGTAGTTCTTAATAGTGGGACTTTACAATTACTATTGTAGTTCTTAATAGTGGCACTTTACAATTACTATTGTAGTTCTAAATAGTGGTACTTTACAATTACTATTGTAGTTCTAAATAGTGGAACTTTACAATTACTATTGTAGTTCTAAATAGTGGAACTTTACAATAATTGTAATAATTATTACTAGTGTAGTTATAATTCGTTTTAATATTCAAAGTTGGAAAAATATTACAAAGTGATTAATTTTATAATAGTCGGTCTAAATAATAGTTAATCTTATAATATTATGTCTAAATTATAATGATTACTCTTATAGGGGTCAAAATAAAATATTAAGTACTCATTTAATATCCTAGTTGCGGTCCACTTAAGCAGTTGTAAATTTAAATAAGGGCGAATTTTAGCAGTGTTCACCTTAAACAGTTGTACATTTAAACAGTGGTCCACAAATACAGTGTCTGACTTACACAGATGTCCATTTAACAGTGGTCCACAAATACAGTGCCTGACTTATACAGATGTTCATTTAAACAGTGGTCTACTTAAACTGGTATCAATTTAAACAGTGGCTCACTTATACAGATGTCCATCTAAACAGTGGCCCACTTCAACAGTTATCCATATAAACAGTTGTCCGTTTAAACTGTGACCCCCTTAAACAAGTATGCATTTAAACAGTGGCCCACTTATACAGGTGTCCATTTAAACAGTGGCCCACTTATACAGATGTCCATCTAAACAGTGGCCCACTTCAACAGTTATCCATGTAAACAGTTATCCTTTTAAGCAGTGGCCCACTTAAACAGGTGTCCATTTTAACATTAACACCCTTTCACTGTGGTCAAACGTGCTTTGGTAAATCTAAACATTGTTGCCCATAATTTTCGTTATAAAAACCCATTATCTACAGATTAACCATCACCTTATGTAAGACACCATACCTTATCCTAGTATCCCTCGCCTTGGTTATCCTGGTATTCAAACTTCGCCCCACTAAAACTATTGACAGAGCTGTGAGATGTGTGCTATCTCCGCCACTCAATGCATTCATTTGGACAATGTCTCTGCCAGGTCACAACTGTTTGTTGTTTGTATCGATCAGACCCACCATCTCCAACCCTTGCACCAATCACACAATCCTAACATTCATCCTACTATATTCATTTAATCTAAATTCACTCACACTTTGTCGTGTGGGCGATTGATGACACAATGCTATATATCTTAGAGCAGACGATGCTTTTATTTGTAACATTCACGCACACAGTGAAACTTGTTTACAACTACAAAAAAAAAAAAAAAAAGAAAGTTTTCGTCAAAATTAATACTACGTGTATTTAGTTACAAGTCATGTAACTATCATGTAAAACTTTTTCGCTCTGCTATGGGGTGGAAATAACATTCTAGAATCGTTATTCAGCAAAATGCTATATATCTTAGAGCAGACGATGCTTTTATTTGTAACATTCACGCACACAGTGAAACTTGTTTACAACTACAAAAAAAAAAAAAAAAAAGAAAGTTTTCGTCAAAATTAATACTACGTGTATTTAGTTACAAGTCATGTAACTATCATGTAACACTTTTTCGCTCTGCTATGGGGTGGAAATAACATTCTAGAATCGTTCTTCAGCACTTATAGTGTGACCACTCACCTTTTACCTCCTGCCGACTTCCAAAAGGTCAGGCAGGTTGTAGATAGCGTCGGCGGTTCCCCCGTTCCTTTTATTGATGGGATCCCAATCGGAATCCATCATGGACAATTTGATTATTTTAGCAGCTTGTTTGATTATTTCCTTTTTTAAAAAAAAAAATAAATAAATCGTTACACTTTAAAAAAAAAAATATTTTAAAATAATTCGTTTACCAAAATCACAAAACATATTTAAATTATGTCAATAAATATTATTTTGTATATAGTTTTTGTTTAAAGTCGTAAAAAAAGTCACAAACTTGGTTTTAAAAAGCAATGGTCAGAAGTTTAGTGGGAGAATTTGGTGGGAATGTTTTTTTCGGAAGGTTCGGTGGAAACATTTGGTGGAAAAATTCGGTGGAAAATTTCGGTGGGAGTGTTTATTGGAAGGTTCGGTGGAAAAATTCGGTGGAAAAATTCGGTGGAAAAATTTGGTGGAAAAATTTGTTTGGAATGTTTTTCTTTGGAAGGTTAGGTGGAGATGTTGTATTTGGCTAATGCAAATGGTGAAGATAGAAATAACACATTTGCGATGGATCTTGGGAAGAAATGTTATGGATTGATACGTCCCCAATGCAAATCAACAGATGACTTGATTAAACGGGAAAAATGCCCAAATCTCAATACTATATAAATCTATAAATCTAAGCCATGAGCGAGAGAAGAGAAATATTGACGCAAAATGAATGCCGTACCTGTCTTATTTTCTCCTCCTGGTGTCGGACAGCAGAAGCCGATGTCCCTTGTATCAACCAGGTAAGGGCCAGAACCGCCATGACTACCAGCAATGTCCGATAAGGGAGACTAACCTGAAAATTTAAAATAGAATTAAAGCAAGGGAACGTATTGAAGTTTGCATTCTGAATTTCAGAAAGTGCTCCATCTGCATACATGGCCCGTGAAAATGTTCCATCTCCATAAATGCCCCATGCAATCTCAAAGTCTGAAAATCTTAAATGAAAGACATTTATCTTAATTGAGTCAGAAACGGTTCTACATGCGAAGGAAAAAAAAATCATACATTAGATGCAAATAATCGAATACTTAAACTATAATGACGTATACAAAGGACACGAGTCGGATTTCAACATCGAAATTGGTGAATGGCAGATAACTCTGAATGAAATCCCGCTTTCGGATTGCAGTAAATGTTGGAATCAAACGGGCAGAAGATGCACGAAACAAAAACGATATATTTGATGATGCGTATATTTAAGGGCAATCTTATAAGAGGCTTACACTATTCGATTATAAGCATCGTACTGGCCGCTCCTAATTATAAGCCGAATCTTACTTCCCGTTGTTTGCACATAATTTTAAATTTATATATTAAAAAATCCAAGTGTAGAGAAAGTAGAGGCAAATAAGTACTAAGGTGTCACCAATAATAATAAGCTAACGTGGCATTAGCACGGCCAAATTATGCTGTATAAGAAATTCAACCAAAGACTTTTCTACCTTAAAAAGAACTGTAAATAATCAAGTCCTTAACTTATTCTACACTGCAACAATTGGAAGCCTACTTAATTTCAGTATCACCTGCTGGTGTGGGAATTCATCGTCTGATATTAATATACACCCAATAAACAAACTAATAATACAAAGCTAGGAACATTGCACAAATTACTAAACATCCTTCACTTGGGGTACTATTTGAAGAAAAATTTTATTGTAAAACTAAAATTGTGGATGATACATCCCACCCTCTTGATCACAGATCCTTAGGATCGGCCCCGTTCGAGACGGATTTTATCTCTCAGGGCGTGGACTGTAAGATAGAACAATTCTTTTGTTCCCCAATCTGTGGGAATTTACCAGCGTGCTGCCCAAAAATCTAAATGAAAACTAATAAGTATACGTCACTGCTATGACTAAGACAAAGTCACTGTTATGACTAAGAGAGTTCACTGAATGGCTGATTTTTTTTTCACTAGATTAGATGTCTTATGTTCTAATTGTTTAATTTATATGCTGAAAATGTACAATGCAATAAAAAAAAACATGTCTATTTTTTTCTAATCTTTAAAAGAATCTTATCTTATCTTATAGCGGTGTATTTATTTTTGCTAAGTACAAAAAATGTGCATTATGTTTTCAAATTATATTTCATCATAAAAACATGAGTTTTAAAGTAAGGTTAGGTGTAAATCATAAACTGATGGCAATATTCCTTAAAAAATATCCATCCATCCATCCCTGTGGCGCTACAGCCCATGTAGGGCTCTGGCCTGCCTCACTACTTTCTTCCACTCAGACCACTAGGATTTGGATTATCACGCTAATTCCAACTTTTGTTGATGATAGTTTTAGACAAAATTCTTATGCCTATATCGTCTATTTTAAATAAATTCTGGGGATTTGGTATAAAATATGCTCAGATGTATCCAAGAGGCGATTTGTAATTTATCTGACGATAATAATAGTACTTTGAAATTCCAAATAAAAATTTCAATCAACTGAATATTGGGAAATGTACAGTTTGTTTTTTTTTATACGATTTCTATCAGATAAAGTCTGCGTTATATTCTATTTTGTTTTTTCTTAAATAGTTGGCGAAATAAATCTGCGGTTTAAAAGCGAGTGGGCCATTATAATATTAATACAGTTCAGGGGCGTGAACAAAAAATGTGCGGTTGCGAGTCTTGAGAGTGGGGGGGGGGGAAGGGGGGGGAGGGAAGCACTAATTGGGATTCCTATAAAGTGCGTTCCTTGTATGCGTGTTTTGTCCAATTTTCAGCCCCCCCCCCCCTTAGGGGGGGGGGGGGGGGGGGGGGGGGGGGGGGGGGGGGGGGGGGGGGGGAAGCACTAATTGGGATTCCTATAAAGTGCGTTCCTTGTATGCGTGTTTTGTCCAATTTTCAGCCCCCCCCCCCTTTCATGGCTCGATATAAAACTTGTTAAAGGATTTATAGGAAAGATATTATTTTATAGGGTTTGTTTATTTTACAAAAATTTACTTTTACAACAAGTTTTAAACATTTCCTTAGATATATCCGCGCGTCCTGACTTGTGTGAAAGCCAAATACAAAGTTTAAAATAAAAGCACGTCCTTAATAAAGATGAAAATATTCTTGTGTACTTCTGACAAAAACACTCAAGGAAGCTTCACCCTACAGAGAGGTACTTAGTACAATCCTCTTAGGCTGACATGTGAAGGGACTGGACCACACAAATATTTATTGGTCATCTTGTGTGTGGCACTTAACATTGTACTTTTGCCTCATAGGGTGGGCAAGTCATGCTATTGTCTGGTAGTATGGGGACAGTGATACTATTGTCTGGTAGGATGGTGACAGTGATACTATTGTCTGGTAGAGTGGGGACAGTGATACTATTGTCTGGTAGGATGAGGACAGTGATACTATTGTCTGGTAGAGTGGGGACAGTGGTACTATTGTCCGGTAGGATGGGGACAGTGATACTATTGTCAGGTAGAGTGGGGACAGTAGTACTATTGTCTGGTAGAGTGGAGACAGTGGTACTATTGTCTGGTAGGATGGGGACAGTGGTACTATTGTCTGGTAGAGTGGAGACAGTGGTACTATTGTCTGGTATAGTGGAGACAGTGGTACTATTGTCTGGTAGGATGGCGACAGTGTTACTATTGTCTGGTAGAGTGTAGACAGTGGTACTATTGTCTGGTAGGATGACGACAGTGTTACTATTGTCTGGTAGAGTGTAGACAGTGTTACTATTGTGTGGTAGAGTGGAGACAGTGGTACTAATTTCTGGTAGAGTGGACACAGTGGTACTATTGTCTGGTAGAGTGGAGACAGTGGTACTATTGTCTGGTAGAATGGGGACAGTGGTACTATTGTCTGGTAGAGTGGAGACAGTGGTACTATTGTCTGGTAGGATGGGGACAGTGGCACTATTGTCTGGTAGAGTGGAGACAGTGGTACTATTGTCTGGTAGGATGGGGACAGTGGTACTATTGTCTGGTAGAGTGGAGACAGTGATACTATTGTCTGGTAGGGTGGGAATGTCTTACAATAGTCTGGTAGGGTGGGAATGTCTTACGATAGTCTGGTAGGGTGGCAATGTCTTACTAAACAACGGATCAGCACGCTTCTAAACTGAAGACAACTACTAAGCAATAACATAGAGTAGGGGCGTAGCACAACATATACAATAGAAACATAATAATTCGGCACAACATATACAATAGAGACATAATAATTCGGCACAACATATACAATAGAGACATAATAATTCGGCACAACATATCAAATAGGAACACAATAACTCGGCACAACACATACAATAGGGACATAATAACTCTGCACAACATATAAAATAGGAACACAATAACTCGGCACAACACATACAATAGGGACATAATAATTCGGCACAACATATGAGACATCCGGAGGCCATGAAATATTAGATTCTATTATTGTAACTAAAATGATGAAAAGTTTCGATTCTTTGATTGTTCTACTAATCCTTATTGACCCTTTTATCCCCAAGCCGATACACAGAAACAATCATTCGAATCGAACGTAAACACAAAAATCTCACATGATGAACTGGGATTGCACAGAACAAAACACAGCACCTTTCAAACTTCCATTGAATGCCAAGTCTTGAGTTCTCTAAACAAAGGATCAAAATCCATTTCAACTTGACCAAGGCTCAATCGGTCATATACGGGCATTTTCGCGGCAAACTGTTCAATGACAAAGGTGGTATCGATCAGAAGAAATTAATCTTCTATCGAACAAAGGGCGTCGGGATGTACGCTGTTGACAGAAGGACCAGGCGGAAGAATGCTGAAGACGGTCATGGACACGATACCCTGGGGCTCTCAAAGAGAAGAAAACTTGAGAACTTTCTCAGGTCTACCTGCTTTGTTTCTGAGATCTAGCTGATTTGTTTCTGAGGTCTACCTGATTTGTTTCTGAGGTCTACCTGATTTGTTTCTGAGGTCTACCTGATTTGTTTCTGAGGTCTACCTGATTTGTTTCAGAGGTCTACCTGATTTGTTTCTGATGTCTACCTGATTTGTTTCTGAGGTCTACCTGATTTGTTTCTGAGGTCTACCTGATTTGTTTCTGAGGTCTCCCTGATTTGTTTCTGAGGTCTACCTGATTTGTTTCTGAGGTCTACCTGATTTGTTTCTGAGGTCTACCTGATTTGTTTCTGAGGTCTACCTGATTTGTATCTGAGGTCTACCTGATTTGTTTCTGAGGTCTACCTGATTTGTATCTGAGGCCTACCTGATTTGTATCTGAGGTCTACCTGATTTGTTTCTGAGGTCTACCTGATTTGTATCTGAGGCCTACCTGATTTGTATCTGAGGTCTACCTGATTTGTTTCTGTGGTCTATCTGATTTGTTTCTGAGGTCTGCCTGGTTTGTTTCTGAGGTCTCCCTGATTTGTTTCTGAGGTCTACCTGATTTGTTTCTGAGGTCTACCTGATTTGTTTCTGAGGTATACCGGATTTGTTTCTGAGGTCTGCCTGATTTGTATCTCATTTAAACGACTCATTTATATGTGTAGACCTTTTACGTAAGCAAACATATGTTTTGTGGAGACAGATTATGTGTGTCAACGGAGCATAGGGGGCGGGGGTGGGGGGGGGTAAATAGATGGTGAGTGAAAACAGATTATGTGTTTAAACAGAGCCATCCCACAACCTCCTCATTAATACGTCATCAGTTAAAACTCCTTACGAACCGTCACCGTTTATACATAATGACATGCAAAGCCATTAAATCTTTGACATCATTATATGACACGCCACCTATTCTCCAAGTTACTTTGGCATCATCACATGACTTACCTCCTATTCTCCATCTTACTTTGA